AGGGCTGACAGCCTGCCGGGCCGACAGCTGGGGAGCCAGCAGGGCTTGCGAGGCGCCCCTCAGCCCGGTTTTCCTTTGGGAGAGGAGTGCACCCGGCCCGTGACAGCCCTCCCGATCCTAGCCTTTCAGTAGAGCAGGATCAGCCTAAAGAGAGCCCCCCCTTCCCCGCATTTAAACTGAGTCAGAGTTGCCATTATCTGTACCCAAGACATCCTACCAAAATAGTTAGGTCATCGGCAGGACACCACCCACCCCACCCCCACCCCCCGAATTAATTAGGAAGCTTACAGTAACAACAGTTGAAATTTTAGCAAAGTTAAAAGCACGTGAAGATTGGAGAAGTCTTGCTGCTGCTAAATGTTCTCATTGCTGCACAGGTTGTAGTAAAACCACGAGAAGCAACAGCAACCTAATTTTGTTTCACCCTCCCGCTTGCTTTCAGAAACTGAAAAGATAGTTCTTTTCTCAGGGCAGAAATCAAATAAATTCTGAAGTCTTGCTCTTAGGCCACGCTTCTGTAAGTCCAGCCTGCTGCACAGCAGAGGAAGCTGCCTTCTGCAACAGCTAACCTCTTGCCCACAGCACCTCTATTTATAGCTCTATACGCATCTGATGAACCACACCTGAAACCTCTCCCTAACACTGCTGCTTCCGAGCAGGCCTAGCAGTCTCCTTTTGTTGCAATGAATGGACTCAGTCTCTCTGCTGCCCGGCCGGAGGAGTGGGGAGTCGTGCTTCCTCCCTCTCAGATACCAGCTCATGGAAAAGTCGGTTTCTGTCAGCGTTGAGTATGGCATCATTTGACCCATCACGTGTGGCTGCCAAAGAAAATCAAACGCCTGACAAAAGGATCGCTAGATGTGGAGGAGGAATGTTGATTTTCCGTGAGCTTTGTGAATGAAAACTTTTTTAGACAAGTTCTGGTTTTGTCTTGCCGCCTTTGTCTGACTTGCGCTCCCAACCGCCTGCTAATATTGCGGCAGGCGATTGGGTAGCATCTGGCATCGCTGTCTATCTCTTTGCATCTGCCTTGCCCTTCTGCGGCGCTGCCCCGTGAAGCCTGTCTGAACGCTCGCACTTGAGGCTACAGTCTGAATCCTGTTTTCTGGATGGGTCCTGGGTTTCTGCAGCTAGCTAAACTGAACGTTCTGCGTAGGTTTCTTCTTTCCAGAATTAAATGCCAGACTTTTCTCAAGCCAGACAGTCGCTGCTGACTATGTTGGAATATATTTCATGTAGAAAGCCCAAGTAACTTCAGCTCTTCGCTCAGAACGACCTGTTTTAAAAACATTTGAGTTCAGCCACATGTTTGTCCCAGCAGAATATCGGGGTGTCAGTGTTTTATGCCCTACAGATCCTTCATTAAACTGGGAAAACATGGGGATAATGCAGTAAGTTCTAGCATTTCCAGGTTTTAGTTTTTGCTTTGCAAAAAATGATCTGTAACCTCATTAAGTTCGTTAAGGCACCTTAGTTAGCTGACTAAAACCGTGAGGTTTATGCTTTTATGATTTCTTAAGGCTAGAAAAAAACCCAAAAGGGATTGGACAAAGCTTCATTTACTGTGATGATCTAAATAATCATAGTAATTAAGAACAGCTCTTGCCAGATTAGTACGTGTTGCAATCTACCTTATTTGCATTTTGAAACTTGCTTGTTTCGGGACTGCTTTATGGTATTTTTACCATGCCACACTTTAGGAAGACGTGAACCAGTCGCTCAGATAAAGCAAAGCGCTTCCAGTAGTTTCTGGTAGGATGTTTTTTGCCCCACTTCACATACATCCACGAGTCTCCTGACCTTTGCGATTATCATCCGATTAAAAGTGGTGGGAACACTTCAGAAATGCTATGCCAGATCAAAACACAGCTTTTGAGGTTAGCCCCCTCTGTGTAATGATCTGAGCCTTCATCCTTCAGATTTTGCCGCTGCTGTTGCCTAAAACCCTGTTAAGAAACTCCTTAACGCAATTTTTGTTGAAGATGCAAGGCTGGAATCTGCTCATCACCGACTCCAGAGTTCTGTCTTTTTAATGTGGGAAAGTGGTAGGAATAAATGTTTCAAATTTTAGGACGCCTTCCAGCATGGTTAGCAGTGATGCAGATCTTCTGCCAAACAACCGCAAAATTGAAACTAAAAACTTACCAGGCAACTCATAGCTTAGAGTTTGTTGATTTCACTACAGATTACAGGTTTGGAAAAATAAGTAGTCATTTATGTCGAGAGAAATAACTTCTGTTCAGTAACAGAACTACATCTGCACAACCAAAGTAAAACACATAAAAAATGTTTTTATGGCTGCAGGCAGGACTGGCATTGGAAATTTATCTTTTTTATTTATTTATTTTCCCCTCTTTTCATACTGTTACAGCTACGAGGCAGATTTCAGCACTGCTATATTTAAAACAAATGAAAATCTGTTTTGATCCAGTAAGTAGAGCAGGCCAAATACATTCAAAAGCGTTATGTCACTCCAGCTCTGTTGAGAGAAAAAAAAAAAAAAAAAAAAAAAATGTTAATAAATGCTACGTTGTTAAAATATGTTGTTGGGTACAAAGTGGGTTTTGGTTTGTGTGCCTTATACAGATGAATATATTCCCTAAAAGCCTGCATCGCCAGGATTTGGCACGACCACTTAAAGAGCAATGCCGCACTTTTCTGGCAACTGTAGGACAGTGACGAAAATGTCCTTTGCGTTTTAAGTTTGTACGTCTTCAGAATGATTCACGTAAACTTCCAATAGCTTAATCTTATTCGAACACTCAGAAGAAATAGATTCCCATGCGTGGCTTGATTTGAGGATAGTAGGCTTGCACAGGGGACACCGGAGGCCTGGCTTGGCTTGCAGAATCCTTGGTGGTGGTGATAGAGAATAATCGTAGTTCTTCTGGAGCCGAGTTTGAGGGAGGAGAGAATGACTATATTTAGTAATATAAACTTATTTGATCTAGGGAATGTTAAAAATCATGCTACTGAATGTAGGGCAAATGCAAAACCAGCACAGCGTTCTCTGAGTAAATACTTGGTGTAGACTTTAATCCCCTCGTCAGGTAACTTCCTGGAAGGTTGTGCGGGCAGCGGGCCCGGTGTGCGGTGCCGGTAGCTTGAGCGGGTATGGTAGCGAACACAGATGTTCTGGCTCAAGAGGAAGGAATATTCACAATGACGATGATAGGGATTAAAGTCAAGCAGAAGATTACGGTGGTGCTGAGACAAAACATTGTTCTTTTGAATCAGTTTGAGACACGTAGCAACTTCCAGGAGTATACATGAGCTTTTCCAGTATAAAGAAGGTAGGAATTCTCTTAACAGCCGTCTTGTCCATACTGTAGAGTGAATGCTCAGCCTGCAGCAAAGGCGAGCTGGAAAACAGGTTTTGTTCATCCTTGAGAAGAAGCAGCCCTCTTTCCGAATGGCGACTCTGCCTTTGCCTCAAAGTCCTTCATAATGTCCTCCCCATATCTGCAGAGTGATACTCGGGGAGTAGGCTTTCACGTTGTCTACAGCCAGGATATTACATTTAAGGCTATACATCTGATTGTTCTTTCAAATCGAGCTGCTGTGCTTGTATGAACCATAGTTCCCATTTGTCGGAACTGTTGTTATCTTACTATAATCACAGTTATCTGAGAAACTGTACCTGCACACAGAGCATTTTTTCAGTGACTCTCCTAGCAGTAACCTATTTATGGAAGGCCTGACACTGTAGTGAACTGGCATCGTGATTTTTTTAAAGTATTATTTATTCAGTGTACTGTGAGGTAGGGGGTGCTGCTGTCCTGTCAAAAGACTCAATCATACTTCCAAAGTCTTGCAAAAGTCTGAGTAAAGTGGGCACTTTGAACACAGGTATCTCAGCTTCTGCTTTCTTTACCCCTTCTTTTTGTCGGTAAAATTCCTTTAGTGTATATAACCCCCTGGAGCGTTTACCTGTT